AACTCATATTGCATCTCATAAGGATGAAATTACCAAAATATCCTCTAAGGGTATTTTCGTAATTTTACTTTTTGAAGTCAATTTTTTTGTGAAAAACTTCAAATCATGTTTTAATATTATTCCATAATTTTTGATGCATTGAAAACTTTGATTGCACCTCAAAAAAGTTAAAATTACCAAAATATCCTTTAAAGGTATTTTCATAGTTGGCATTTTTTAAGTCAAATTTTCATGAAAAGCTCTATATCATAGTTAAATATTCTTATATGATTTGTAGGCCATTAAAGTCATGAAAATAAATATTGAACTAGAGGATTTTAGGAAAATCATGGAAAAAGCTAAAAAAACACTAATAAGAATAAAATTATCTTTTCTCATTATGACAGCTGCATTATTAGCTAAACTGTATGTTGTATTTTTTTCAGAGCCATTAATCTTAAAGGTTTACATCCTAGGTTCAAGATTACTTTCCTTGGTCACCAAGGTTATGGGAAAAAGAGAAAATAACTACAAACCTTAGATGAATTTGATCCAAAGGCTAAGGAAAGGTCATAGTTTGAAAACATATCATTTAGGGCTGGAAGAAAGAGGAGACAATTGGAAGTGGGGGAAAAAACCAAAAAAGTGAAGAAAAAATCAAAAAAATTGGAAAAGCTTTGTAAGATAGTCATTTTTGTCACCCTTTTCATGTATTTTTCATCTCCATTCCATGTAATTCTTAGTTTTTCTCCATGTAGTTCTTCATTCCAAGAGCTTCCTCCTATTTTTAATGATTTACATGCTTTGATTTATATTTAAATTTTTTTTTAATGATTTGGTCTTGTGGTTATCTTGTTTCATGGTTTAATTATATTTTTGTTTAATCTTCTTGAATACAAATTTTAGATTCTTGATTGGTCTTTTGTTAGTTTTCTAGGTATTTGATAAAAGTTCTATTTTGAATAAATGATGGTTCTTTAATTTCTTGATATGTACTTGATACATATTAGCTTTTAGATTTTATTTTCAACAGTTATAATGTTTGTTAAGTGTTTGAATAAATTTACAAAGCTAAAAAGTTTGTATTCATGGTGTATTAAAATTGTTGCATAAATAAAAATATAAGTTTTCAATAGTTTTTCAAGTGTTTGAGGAAATGACTACATTACATTTTTACGTTATGTTTGGATAAATATTAATAAAAGAAAGGAAAGAAAAGGAAAAGAAAGTTTTTTTAAAGGAAAGGAAAGGATACATGTAACCATTATTTGGATAATTAAAATTAATTAAGGAAAGGAAAGAAAAGGAATTCTAACAACCATTATTTGGATAAAGAGTAAAAAAGAAAGGAAATGATTTATTATAATTTTTTTTTTCAATTATAACATTTTCATTGCCTGTGATTTTAGAGCACTCCTAGACCATGATATATTTACTATCTTATCTAGCCTCACAATTGCTGCTATATTAATGGTTTTAATCAAGTGAAATAGGAAGATGTTTTACAAATATGAATTGATAAATTTTGAGCTAGTCTGACATCTCATAAATCTAAAAAATATATTTATTTATATTCAACAATTCATCAAAATCAAATCACCAAAAAATTATAAAAAAAAACTTTATATTGGAAGATATATATGGAACTTACTTGAAAAAAGATATGGCTTTGAAAAAATTACAGGATGATTATGATTTGCTTAGGTTTTTTTTATTAGGTTTTTAGTATTAATAAAAAGATCGACATAATAGTCTTTTTATAAAAAAAATAATTTTTCAACTTTCTTTTCCCTAGCTTTTCTTCCAAATTGGGGTATTAAAAAAATTAGGTTACAAGAAAAACCAAAGGTTATTTGGTTTTCATCTCTTTCCCTTTCTTTAAATTAAATATTTATCCAAACAAGGGAAATGAGGTTTTGTTTCCTTTACTTTCTTTTACTTTACTTTACTTTCCTTCATTTTCCCTCAATCCAAACACACTGTTAGTGTTTGATCATTTGCTCATACCATGCATCATGCATTAAGCATTTGTCCTACGTACATTACTTACACATTAAAACCTTAATTAGAGAATAAAATCATGGTTTTCTGGCTTGCTTCAAAAGTTTATCTAAATATTGGAGATTTTTGTAAAAGTTCATAAAAATCATGAAAATCCTAAAAGCTAACACTAGACCCATTCTCATGCACTAGCATTTCATTTTGATAAATTGTTACGTGCATTAACATTTTTGAATTTTCATTTTCATCCATGCATTTATATTTGTGATTCACACTTTAATTGTCATCCATATATTATAATTTTTTACACTCATGCATTTCATTCATATGCTTTTTAAACAATGTTTTAAAAAAAAAGAATTTTTTTTTTTAAAATTAGGTTATATTTCAAGTAAAAATAATTATTAAGATCTAACCTAAATATAAGGAGATTTACAACAATTATGATTTATGAGAAATATTATCTTAGTTTTATAGGATATTATGAAAGCTTTTAGAGTAAAGTGATATTTTTGGAATTCCGCCTAAATATAAAATAATGAATGAAATGTTTCAATGCTAAAGATTTTTCATCTTGATCCAAATAATTAGATTTGTTTCAAATTAAAAAAAAAATAACTTGTTTTCAAAATATAAAATTCAAAATGATTTGATTTCAAGAAAAATGATTTTGGAGAAAATAAATAAAGTTCAAAAAATTAATTTTCAAACATTAAAGTTAAGACCATTTTTATTAAAATTTAAGGATAATATGTAATCAATTGGTACCGATTTTCACAGACGCTGTGGGGGTGCTAATCATTCCCCATGCATAATCAACTTTCGAATTTATAACTGTTTTCATAGACCAAAATTTTTTTAATAAACTTTAAACTCATTTTATTGTTTTATTAAAAAGATAAACTTTTTAAGTGGTTAATCATATCTAACAAGAAAGATTGATGGTGGCTCCCCTTGTTTTGAAAAGCTTTTAAAATTTTCTTCTAATAGTTCCTAAAACTATTATGACATGTCTTATTATTTAGAAATTTAATATAAAAAGACTATATAATATGAAAAGATAATTTTTGTTTGATATAAATTATGATAAAAAAAATATAGTGAGTTTTTGAAAGATTCAAATAAACTTAATCTTTATAGTTTTAAAAGTTTTAAAAAAAATCAGTGTCTTCTAAAGAAATTATCTATATAAACATCCATATGATCAATCTTATCAAGTGTCTATGTATATTATAATATACATATATATATGTATATATACATTGCTTCCATCTCGAATTGTTGGAGTGTTATTGCTTTTTCAAGGTTTAAGAAAATATTTTTTACTTTAATATATTTAATATTAAATTTTAAATTTTTATATAAAATTAAAATTTCATGATTTTTAATGTTAAAAAATAAAAATAATTTTAAAACATAACAAATAAAAAAAATTTAGATTTAAAAAAAATGAAAAAATGCTAGAGCTAGATTATAGAATCCTTCCATGATTGAGGTAAAGCTAGAGCTTTCGGCTTTCTTATTACGTCTCCATTCACATTTGATGGAGATATCTTTCCTATTGATTTGGAGTTCCTTTTCTCAAGAAGAGTTGACTTTGTATTTTCGATTTTCCTTTGGCACAAAAGATGTCTTTGATACAAAAGGTGTTGTAATTTAAAAATTAAAAAAAAAAAATTATAAGCATTAGAGTTTGAACATCAAACGATAATAATATTTAAATTTTGAATATTAAACAATATTTTTAGTTCAAACAAAAATAATCCTAGAACTTCCATATTAGAAAATATTGTCAAATTTCTTCTACTAATTGTTTCTATTATTCCAAAAGTAACTCAAATATTCGACCACATGCAATTTTAATTTTTCTTTAAAACATTTGAAGGAAAAAAAAAAAAAAACTCAAGGAAGCATACAAAGAAGTCTGCAACAAATTACTACTGAAGTTATAGCTAGATTTTGCTCTATCAATGGAATATTGCAAATATAAGTCTAGAAACAATGTTATTGCTCAAAATTAAGGTATAAGCCACCCCAAATTTGTTAATACTAAACTATCAAAAAAAATTTTTGTTATTACTGTAGCCTGCTCCATTATTATTTTCCTGTTGCAGTCTTGTTCTGGCCAACATTTATTTATTTTATCTATTATTTATATAAAAATAATTTTATATATTATATTAAATTAAAAAAGTTTAATTGAAATTTTTAAATGAAAAATGAAAATAAAATAACAAAAAGGGAAAAGGATTGAAAAAGGGGAGGCTACGGCATGGACATATTCGAATCCGCAATAAGGCCCAAGGGCAAAAAAAAAAAAAAGAAAGAAAAACCTGAATCGTGGTATAGTGATGAAAAAGGCCTGCAGTGAAAATGAAAACTCTCACCGAACCTTAAGGTTTAGCCGCAATTGGAGCCCTGACGCTTTAGATTGGAGCCATAACAATCAGTGCAACCACTAGAGCTTCAAACAACATTGGACCTTGTGACCCAAAAAAGGTCGGCTAGAACTGGACCTTCAACCTCTTGACAAAGCGACCCAAATGAGGTCCGATCTGCAACCGCGTCGGATCAAGTTAGCCAAACAAGGTCCAATGGCTGTTGATCGGGAGCTCCAACTACGCCGCGCCAGACCTTTCCCGACTGTACCGTGGTAGGAAGCTCCAACTATGACGCCAGTTGAGAGCTCCAACCATGCCGCATTGGAGATCTCCCAACCGTAGCCACCTGAGCGATACTTTCCCAACTGCCATCGAAGCTCTCGATCCGAACCCTAACTTTTATGGTAACTTTGACATTTAAATTTAAAATTTCGAAGCGGAAACTAATCGTGGGCAAAGAAATTGATTGAAGTCAACCAATAATGTGAATTGAAACATGCTTAGACATGGGACAAGATACTTTAATCAAAGTTCAATTAACCAAAGTTTCAATTTGTTTGTTTAAATCACCTAAATAGATTTCTTAGATAAACCAAAATTCCACTAAATCATCCACTGTAAAATCAAACCATGATTTAAAAGATTTTATCCATCAAAATTTCAAATGAAATCAGGAACACACACACACACAAAAAACCCATATTGGCGGAAAGAAGGTCTTCTTGTTAACTTAAACACTCAAAATTACCATCATCACAAATTTAAAAAAAAAAAAAAAAAGACGGTAGCTATATCTGGATCAGCCCTAAATTCGATCCGATGACATTCATTGCTCATGCACCAGGAGCTGCATCCTTTACCTTGCTTTGCAAGTAACCACCATATTCCATCGCATAGTCCTTGACATGGCTGGCTGTGTCAAAAATACGGCTTCGTGCATAATCAACTCTGTCTGATCCAGGTGGGTGCATTCCCCTTAAGTAGCGGTACATCCAAGATAACCCTGCCGCGACCATCACTCCGAAGCCGCATGCTGACAAGAACCCAGCTGTGGTTACAAAGAGCACGGTGCCTACTGGGAACCATAAGGGGATGGAAATGAGGATCAATGGCATAAAAAAGATGAAGCCAAGAATGGTGGCAGTAACTGTGATGCCAGTGAGTATTAGGAGAATTGAGGCAGAAATAAAGAGGGTCAAGAAGCCGAGAAGTTGGGTGGAGTTTGGTGCCTGAGCTTGGATTTTCCGTAAGAAAGTAGAGGTAGTGGCGGTGGGGTTAGGTCCTGGGGCTCTCTGCTGGCTAGGATTACGCTCAGCCATGGTTGAGAGCTCAAAGGGTTTAGGGGAAGAGGAATATTTGCGAGAGAGTGGAATGGGTTGCAGTGTTAAAAGGTAACGAGAAAGACTAGGCTTTGATGACAGGTGTTCGGAAGTTCCGCCCCTGGAAACATACAAGGGACACGTGGAGAAGGAATGGAGCTTTTCCAGTCCCAGGGATGGGTGAGAGGACATTGACTTTTTCTTTTTGAGTAGATTTTGGTGAGCTATTGATAAACTCAATTAGCTAGTTTATTAGGGAAAATTGTTGGATTTAGCTCCAAAGATTGGAAATCTCTCATTTTTTAGATTCTATATACAAAAATGACATATTACATTTCCACTTATAGATCAGAGATGTTCTCATCACTGGAGCTCTACAATTGGATTTTATTCACTACATAAATCTAGATTTCTATAAGCTCTTGAGAGCTGACAAGGAATTTACAGTTTTGCCTTTGGCTAATAGGAAAAAGGAGAAATTGCCAAGCATGAATCCTTTGCTCTAACTAAATTTTGTTCCCTTTGAATTAGGGGTACTTAAAATTTAATTTTAATCAAATTAATCGATTAAAGTAATTTAATTCAATTAATTGATCAATCATCGAATTGATTTTAATCAATTATCAAAAACTATTCTTACAAAATTTTAATTTTCAATTATTTGATTCAAAAACCAAATTAATTGAATTCATCACAATTTTAATTGAATATAATTAAACTCAAATATAAAACTGAAAATATATAAAATTATTTATTTCATTTCAAGCCATTAAAATTCTTAACTTAATACTTTAGTATTCAAATATTTTTATAAGATGATTTATTTAATTTGTTTTAAATATAAAAAATTAAAATTTATTTTAATTTAAATTTATTTTATTATTCAATTAGTAAAAAAAATTAACCTAACCAATTAAACTCATTTTGATCAATTAATTTTTAAAATTAAAATATTTAATTCGATTAATAAAAATAAAATAATATATTTTTATTAATTTAATTTTAAATAATTCAATTCAAAATTAATCGAAGAAACCGTTAAACACACTTTTCAACCAGGCATGCACCTAACCTAAACAACCCCAACGACCCTCAACTATTTTCATTCTTTTGCCTTTTTGGCACTACGATCAAATATTTATCAAGTACATTACAAATTCCCATACTAAAAGAATAGCTTTAAGATAGCTTTAAAATAACCATATCTAAAAACATCACTGAAAATTTAAAAGAAAAAATATCCACAGGATACTGCAAATTTAAAAAAATATATCCACAGGCTAAACTTCTTGAAGAGGGAAGCTCTCGAAGCAAGCCATTGTTTATCCGACATTCCATCCGAATAAATATAACAAATAATCACCCTTAAAAATGATGTTTGCATCTACGTCTAGCATGAAAATGTGTATGACAAATTAACATTGCTCTCTGAAAAACACACAATTCCTAATTTTCCTAATTTCCCATATTAACATCCAGCACTAGCAATTGGCAATGATTATCCCATCTGGTCCGAGATAACATTTTCCGAGCCTGGAAAACTTAAAAGAGTCTGAGCTTTTTCCTTTTCACGACATTTAACTAACGGAAACTAGAAGGTGATTCTCAACTCCTGGTCCGAATCGAGAAAGAAATCAAACATGCATATACAAAAGAAACGCCAAAACTACCATTATAGGCCATAAACTCGTTCTACTTACTCTTTTTAGAACATAGTTAATTTGACATGGCATTAAATTATGATTTGGAAGTAAAGAATGGATAACAAAGGTGCTAAACTAAGTGATCAAAATATCCTCAAACATGTACCCATTTTCCCAAAGGAGGATTGCTTCATGAATCTATGTGCAAAAATGTGGCAACTCTATATCAACAAGTACTCCTTTCGATACTCACGCACTATAACAGGCACACTTGTAGGAGGGATCTGCGGCACAAATAATATTTTGAGTTAAAATCTACCAAATGCAAGTAACCTCAAGCAAGCTTGAGCAACTAAAGCATTTAATTCTCCACCAAGTGCGAATTAAATGATGAACAAAGTGTAAACAATAAAGACAGGCTAAGTTGCATTGGACTTTAGTATCCACGATGCACCTTAATACAAAATCCCCACCCAAAGAAAGGGAAAGATATTTCAATATCACTCACCGTGCCATAATCGGTGACAATCATAGAGATATAATATGACGGAGTAGCATCATATCTGTTGGGGGATCATAGCAAGTTAAGAGGATTCAGAATTATTCAGAGATCATTAAAACAAATCTTTTCTTTCTTTGGACATGAGACATCTAAAGGCTTACTTTAAATTAAGAAGTTCAAGGTTTTCCTTCTGTTTATCAGTCAAATTATCCAAATAATTCACATACACTCTTCCTGGGACCTCTGCTATGGCATCTGGGTCACCTGCAAGATATTCCAGAAGGCTCAAATTGTCTACTTCAGAAAAGATGGTGATATACCTAGAGAAAATGAAAGGAAGTGACAACTATCCTCTCACGAGATTGCTAGTCCGGAATCCAATTGCATTTTTCTTTAAAAACAAATTCTTTTTTTAATGGAAGAGATGGGGGTAAAGGTGGTGGATTGACTTGTACAAACACCAACATACCTAGTTCATTAAAGCAGATTGAATCAAGCTGCACTCTCTCATGAAATTTATATGCTTCACAACAGATCAAAACTGGAACGTGGAATGCATAAGCAACCATAGCAACTGATGCAGTCCCAACCCTCGAATATACAGTCCCATTAGACAATATTGAGGAAGCACCGAGGAAAACTCGAGTGACTTCATGCATGATATAAGAAATAGCATTTATTTGAGTATACGTGCAACTCAGGCCCTTTGACACCAGCATACGAAGTAGCTTTTGGCCTTCAAGCATGGGACGTGAGTCTATTACCACTACACGGAACTGTTTCCCAAGCTCATGGGCATATAAAAGAATCATTTCAACAACACATGGTGATCCATATGTCAGAAGAACATCGCCATCTCTAATCTTTGTAGCAGCATGTCTAACTATTACCTTATCAGCAAGCACTATCTTCTCATTTATGAAACGATCAATGTCAGAACAAAGGGCTGCTTTTGCTTCTGATTCCGAGATAGATGGTGGTAACTTGGCAATACGACTCTTCAGAAACCTTATGGCATTTCCCATGCTCATAGAAAGAGGGCGGCATTCAATCAGAAAAGAAACAAAACCACTAATTTTGGAAGTTAAATCTCTGATAAGGGTTTTTTCTGGTGGCGTGGAATAGTCTTTGATTGCTTCCTGAAATGCCTGCAGCATTGCAATACAACGAGCATTACCTCCTGATAAATCTCCAGTCAAATACTGCAATCCAACCTGACAATTTCATATAAGACACCATTGTAAGGAACTTGAGGTTTCTCTTTTATTAATGTAAAAGATAAGAAAAATATGTTCTATCTACTTTTCAAAATAAATTTGAAACCAGCCTAATTCATCCACCATCAGAGTCAATATTCACAATAAATACCATGTGCTCTCATTCTGAATCCCTTTCCTACAGTATATCCTCACACCAATTAGTGCACCAAAATTTAAAAGAAATTGAGTTAATAAAATCATTAAAGTTTCAGAAAAACAGCAAAAAAAGAAAGATAACAAGAAGTTAATGAAGCTGAGCAAAACAAAAGGAGGTTCACGTATCATTCTCAACTATGGATTGACATATTGCAGGTTATCATTCTCCTGGATATTTACTTTGTGTCAATCTTAAAGAAAAGGGGAAGCCTCAGCACCCCCTCCTCCTCTTTTATTTTTACTTTTTCTCAACTTATTTTTAATTTTGCACTCACTTTGTGATGAACAACTATATGTCATTCACCAGAACATGCGCAAAGGCAACAGGAAAGGGAACTTTGTGGCCATATAAAGAAGCTAAATACAGTGTTAGAGACTTTAATAGTTAAGCTGCACAAAAAACTAATCTATGAGAGGCTAATTTATTCCCTTCGCTTTCCAATGTCAGCATAGTAACAACTCATCAGATAGAAAGAAAATCAATAACTATGTTTCATTTTACTAGTTCAGATAGCAATAAATAAACTCAATTTAATGCCATGTCAAATTAACTAATTACTAAAAAAAAGCAATAAATAAACTCAACTGTTAACTAACCATAACAAACTAATAAAAAGAGTACCTTGTAAACAGCAGGATGCTTCTCATGAAGTTCAAAAAATTTAGACTCCAAATAAGGAAGTTGAGTTCCATTTTTGTGTGGAGGCAGATGGCGAAACAGTTCGACTCTATTCCTAGCTTCAGGTTGATTCAACACAGATCGCCTTTTAGCCTTCCCCACACGACTCTCATCATCAAATTGCATACGTGGAGGAGGAACATCTTTCTTCCTCTCTTTCTCTGCTAGACGATCAACTCCTATTCTTTCAGAAGCTGCAATTGAAGATGCAACTGGAGGACCATCTTTCTTTTGTGGTGGCTGCTTCACAGGTTTAGAAGTAGCTGCTCCTCCAGATGTGCCAGATTTATTTGCTTCAACTGCAAAATTTAATATTAATAGATTTGGACTATAGACTATTTATCCGTGCAACACGTTGTTGGTAATATGCCCTAAGACCAAACGCATCGATTATGGGATACATGTCATATTATACATATCTATTATTATCAAAGGCATTCTTTATCTATGAGATTCTATACACATGATTCATATTACTTACTTCTTACAATAAAGTCCTTGGAATAAATATGTTTTGCAAAGGAATTACAATGAGATTGTAGTTATGAGATCATCATTGCATTAAAGCATTATTCCTAAATTGCTCCTAGTCGATGCTTTGTCAAGAAAGGACATTGATAAAAGCTGTTGAGACCAGCACATGTTTATGCTCTTGCTTATAAAGCAAGCAACTGATCTCATAAGTTAAAATTTTGAGTAAACTTGAGCTAATATATAGGTGCTTGTTACAAAAACAAGTTCACTGAACATGATCCAATATGAGAATGTTATATGGTAGTTCACATATTGTCTATAGCTACATTCTCATGTGATGATTGTATAAATGATCGTTTGACTTGAGATTACTTATGATTTTATATGATGAATCTGATACTTTGACTTTACTTATAGTTCTAACCAATAATGCGCCCGTCAAGTATTGTTAGGTATAACAAAAGGCATATAAAGATGCATAAAATAATCAAAATAGGATTCATCATCTTGTGTGATCAAGAGAGTATCTTGACTAGTCTTAATTGAATTAACTTGAGAAATATTTGGACGAAGTGAAATAAGAGTTTAGAACTATTCTAAAACTTTTTAGTGAGTTAATGCCAAGGACAAGACTAAACATTGTTAAACAAATTGAGTAGACACTAAACCATACTCAATGTTCAAACTCAGATACTTCAAATGCTAATAAAACTCAAATCTGACCCCCCTTAACAATCCCCAAGTGGTGGACCAAAGCTGAACTTTGGCCCTCATTGCCAAGGTTAGGGTATTAGATCTTGTGTTCCGAGAAGGGGAAGGGGTATTTAAGAGTGTCAACACCCCCTTTCCCTTGTGCATTCAAATGATGAAATGATATTAATTATTTATTAAGATCATTTGAGAATAGGTTATGAAGTTATATTGACTTTTTTTTAACAATTGAAGGTCATGGCAATGAAGCCAGCACTAATCATTATCTATAAACATAAAATTGGCTAATTGGAAAATTAGTGATGAAGTAAAAAAGTTTGTTTCATCCATAGCCGAATACTAAAGTTCACAATGCTTGTGTTTATTACCAACATGCTAAAGAATCTCATGGGTCACACACAATAAAACAATTATGAAAGATTAAAATGAGACAAATTAAGTTGGACTTAATTTATTTTTGGTTTGAGGAAAAGATAAAGTAAACAAGAGAGTGACTTTCCTTATTTAAACTATTCGGCCAAGTATGGGATTTTATGAAAATATACATGTCTTGCATTAAACCTAATATGGTCGAATGCCCCTCTATAAAAAGAACATTAAACCGCCACCCCTCTTGTAAGATACAAAGCATACTTAATGCAAAAATAAGCTAAGAGAAAGTCTAAGCAAAAACTTTAGAGAAAACAAGAAGTTTTGTAAACACTCACTAGCTAGAGTGTGGTTTGTGTTCTTCCCTATCTTAGAAAAGATTCTTTCACAAGAATTTGTGTGGATCACTGTCAGAGGCTGTACACTTGGGTAGCTTTTTGGTTTGGAAACTATTTGAAAGATCACCACCTTGAACCAAAAGAGTTTTGGCACACAAGGTATGCCATAGCTGCAACCCATATAGTTTGTATATGTTATATGTTTGTACGATCTTGTTGATTGATCTTGACTTTAAAAAATTAAAAATTTTAAAATTCTGCAACTTTAACTCCGCATATTTATGCTTAATTCCCTTTAAGTGATATCAAAGCCTTGTCAATATAGATTAGATAATTTGGAACCTTGTTTAATTGTTCTTGATATCAAAACTGTTTTGATTATAATCTGTCTATTGTGATGAGAAGCTAGAAAAACAAGTTTTTCAATTTTGTTTTGATTTGATTCTTTTAGAATATCAAAATATAATGTCTTAGGATGGTTGGGATTAAATTTCATGATTTATGGGATTAAATTTCATGACTTTTACTCACCGAGATTGAATTTACTTCACGATCAATAAATTGTTCGGGGTTCTAGCAGCCTACTACGTGAAAGAAGAAAATTTTGGTTCTATCTCTAGCTATCTTTGATTTATCTGAAATTTTAGCCCATGATTCTATACTGATAAAGCATTTTTGGTTTAAAATTTGAGAAATTTTAGATGAGATTTACCTGGCCAAATTAGAATTGGTTTGAAATCTGTCCACTACTTCATGCAAAACCAGTGACGTTGGAGAAGAAAAATTAATTCTCTTCTTTGGGTTATTGGTTCGCTACAAAATTTTAACACAAGATGGTAGAAATCTTGCGGGTCATTGTGTTAAATTTTCAAAATTTTTGGAATTGATTTTGGCGCTCAAACGTTAATGACAAAATCTACCAAGAAAACTATTTCTAGCGGCTGCAGATGTCTAAATTGTTTAGATGCATAAAAACCCTAATTTGATTATGGGACTATGCTTTATTGATGCAGCCGGTATTCTTAATTATTAAGAGCCTTTAAAACTTATTCACTAAAGTTTTAATGAAAACTAACTTGGTAATCAAGTTTGGGAATCTTAGGAAATTAGTTCATCAAGACTTCCAGATTTACTTTCTTGATCATTACGAAAGTAGTCGTTACCTTTGGTTTGTCATTCATAACCAAAGGCAAACAAAAGCTTGTCAAGGAGTTGTGAATTCTAGATTGGATGTTCAAAGGGTGCGGCATTATTAGATGCCTAACCCGAAAACCACAAATTACTCAAGGAGGATGTCCTAGTCGCAAGCAAACTTTCGTATTTGGAATAGGATTTGGTGAAACCCTAGATTGGTTCTACTCCATGTATGATTTGGATTCCTAAAAGGCTTTAAGATTTAAAAAATTAGATTTCATTAAGACTCTAAATCAAATTAGAATTCCTAAATAGTTTAGGATTCCTAGTTGCTTTAGAACTAGAATCCTAGTTGGACTAGGACTTCACAAGATTTGTAGTTTGACTTGGATCTTAACTAACTTGCTAATCCTAATTGGATTAGGACTTATATGACCAAAATAAATTAAAATTCTTAGTTGAATTAATAGTCCTAAATAGTTTAGGATATTAATTGCACAACAAACTACAAATCCTATTTTGGTTAGAACTAAACTATTAATCCTAGTATGACTAGGATTTCCCAATATAAATAGTTTGATTTGGATTTTAATTAATTGATAATCTCAAATGCTTTAGGACATGAATTATCAATTTAAATTAAGTATCCAAATTGAATTATAAATCCTAAATGATTTAGACAAATAATTACAAACTATTTATCCTAAAACATGTAGTAGACAAATTCGACCATGTTGTCCTAATTTATCTAGGCTTTAAATAATGACAGAGTGACTTTCCTTGTTTAGACTATTCAGCCAAACATAGGATATTTATGAAAATATACATGTCTTGCATTAAACCTAATATGACCTAAATGTCCCTCTATAAAAAGAACATTAAGCCACCACCCCTCTTGTAAGATACAAGACATACTTGATGCAAAAATAAGCTAAGAGAAAGTCTAAGCAAAAACTTGAGAGAAAAAAAGAGCTTTTGTAAACACTCACTAGCTAAAGTGTGGTTTATGTTCTTCCCTACTTTAGAGAAGGTTATTTCACAAGAGTTCGTGTGGATTACCATTAGAGACTACACATTTGGGTAACTTTTTGACTTGAGAAACTACTTAGAATATCACCACCTTGAACTAAAAGAGTTTCATCACATAAGGTACACACCATAGCTGAAACCCATATAGTTTGTATATATTGTATGTTTGTATGATCTTGTTAATTGATCTTGACTTTAGGAAATTAAAAATTTTAAAATCCCACTGCTTTAACTCTACATATTCACATAGCTAAAACCCATATAGTTTGTATATATTGTATGTTTGTATGATCTTGTTGATTGATCTTGACTTTAAGAAATTAAAAAGTTTAAAATTCCACTACTTTAACTCTGCATATTGATACTTAATTCCCTTCACACGTGTCCTAAAACCAAAAGGAATTATTAATTTATCATACATTTTTTGGAATTTCACACATAAAGATAAAATTAAAAGAAAAAAAAAAGAAAAATCGAAAGAGAGAAAAGAAGATTCTAGAGTCATTAACGTGTTATTGTGCCTTAATGGAAACAACCGTCTTTTTTTCCAAACTCATTAATTGAACAGTGTTAATCTTATCTAAACCTTCCCAAATTATCTAATGAGTTCTGGAGAGTTCTAGAAGTTAAAAGACCATACTCAATCGCCTCTCTTATTTTTCTTCTCTACTCATCTTATTGTATTTCACCTTGCTTTTTCTTCTTTTATTTTTTTTTTTGTTTTTGCTTATTTCTTGTCATCTTTGTCTCTTTCCTTTCTCTCATGGGTTGCAAAAATTTTTTTATGTTATTTTTTCTTTTTTATTTCTTTAGAATTGAATTTTTATTGGTTTTATTTTTTTTACTAGGTGAATTTGAACAAAACCCATAAAAATTTCATAAAGAACATCCTTTTAATTTGATTTTTTTCTTTTTTTTAATTTTTTTTGTGTGAGATTTTTTATTATGTGTTTTGTATAAAGACTATCCTTCTAATGGTGAATTTCACCATTGCCTTTGTTGAACTCAAATACTTTCACTAGAAACAAGTATAAAGCTCTGGCATTTTTAAAATAATTTTTTAGTTTTTATAAAAACTTATATATCTTTTAACTAACATTTTGGGTTTTAATTTCTGAGCAGGTAACAGTCCATATTGCAATTCTTGGTGGAATTTTAAAAATGAGTTTTGGGATTTTGGCTCAATCTTAGGAAGAGTTCTGGGATGATCAAGGTGATTTAACTTTCAATTGAAAAATCAGTTTTTATTTTTTCTGCAATTAGTGATTTAACATTCAATTGAAATTTTGTTTCACAATTCTATAAGTGGTTTCTTTATTTTATGACTTTGGATAGGAAAAGGGAAAGACAACTTTTGTTAATTTTTATAGGGCAATGTAGCATTTATGGAAAGTCTGTTTCATATATATTTTACCATTTGATTCATGCCTTATTTTTCATTAGTTTATATTTGATTATAAAATTCAGAAGCCTTTTCACATGGAATATGTTTTAGAAGTTCAGCACAAGCCATATAATTTAACCCTAAAGTTCAACACCTTTTTTTTTTTATCATCTAGCAACTCCCATGGCAAAGTGCAAGCTGTCACACTAGTTAAAATTAAAAGCTTCTTGGTGCTAAGGACAAAGCTAAGAAATTAGTGCTAATACAAGACCAATTTAAATTGGTCAGAAAAAGACTACATAATTAAAAAATAGCTAACAAAACTAATGTTTCATTGAAATCTAAAACACCATTACCTATGTTATTTAGAGAGGGCAAAAGAACAAATCAGAACAAGTACAAAGGAAATTCTAACAGGCTTCAACAAGCCATTCAATGATTTCTATGTCACAGGGGGTGGAAACTAGAAACTAGCTAAGCTGCTTGCAAACTATTCATCTAGGCTCATTAGATTAGAAAACAAGTCTAGCTTGAGTTTGATGATGAACTCACTTCATAATAGGTATTTCTCTTTCTATCAAATTAAGAACGAATTAAGTTAAGGAAAGGGGAAAACTTGTAACAGATCAAAACAAGTACTTACGAAAATTTCTATATTAATTACTTTATAACAAAAATTATGGTATTTGTAATTTAAAACATAATTATAGATAGATAAACAATTGCCATATTTCATAATTGTATGTCAATTGAGAAAACAAGTCAAGCTTGAGTTTGATGATGAACTCACTTCATGATAGGTGTTTTTCTTTCTACCAAATTAAGAACCAATTCAGTTAAGTAAAGGGGAAAACTTGTAACAGATTGAAACAAGTACTTGAGAAAATTTCTATATTAATTACTTTATAACAACAATATGGTATTTGTAATTTAAAACATAATTATAGATAGATAAACAATTGCCATATTTCATAATTGTATGTCAATCATGACACATGGCATATTTGAGTCATGCCACATACTTTCCATATATTCCAACTACAATTCTTTAACCTCTTTTTCAATTTCCCAATCTTCCTCTCTAGTGTTTTACCCAATTCCACCATCACTTTTGCAAATAATTCCTAATATGTTAAACTAACCTTCTTAGGTATGAAACGGACAACCAGTTAACCACTTCAAATAATATATAGCATTTTAGACACAAAACTAAAATGCAAGTTTGGACACATTTGCAGACATAGTCCATAATCAATTCAAAATAGCATTACTTAAAAGTTCCTGATAGTCACTAAAATAAAGAAGAGTGTTTTGAACCTTTAGAAGCAGCTTTTGTAGCCCTTTGAGACTCCTGCAGGGCACATCTCTCAGCCTTCGTTGTTTTCGCTTTTAAGGGCTTTGAATTTGATGCTTCTTCCTTTTGCACTTCACTTTTTTCTGCAAGAAAATTTTATTTGAAGAAACCTCATTTATTTCAAATACTTAGAAAGTCTAAAATAAAAAAATTTTAAAAAAAAATAACTACCAGGCAATGGATTCTTAGCTTCCACTCCAGCGACACTTTCTGGTTGCTTCACTGGAGACAAATCAAAACCGCCTCCGGGAAAACTCGACGCATATTTCGCCGAATTACTCCTCCGATACCATCCCAACGATGATTCTGTACCCTCAGACAACTCTCCGTCGCCAATCCGACTGGAAGGTGGCGACGCCAACCCCAACACCGACTCTGAGGGGTTGTAACTTCCGACAGTCGCATGTTCTCCAGCGTTTTCCCGTCCGGGAACCGGAACTGCTGCAGTGCGCCCACCAAGGTTGTCAGAGAGGTGACGGGGAGGCGGGATCATGACCGGAGAGAGGAAGTTGCTGGCGGGAGAACCGGAGAGCGGTGGCGAAAAGGAGTTTGGAGGACCTGATTGAGACCGAGTAGGTCCAGGCTGCTGCGGCAGCTCGTTGGGGGTGAAGAAGCCGACTTGGCGGACCCTAGGAACGGCACGTGATACACGTCGCGCGTCCATGGAATGTTGCGGTTCGTTCGAAATGGCTGATTTTTGTAAAATAAAAAAAAAAAGTGAGAGAAATCAATGTTAGGGTTTGGAATTCATGATGAAATTGAATTAAGGGGAGAGAGTTTGGAGAGGAAAGAAGAAGATAACACTTAAAGAGAGCAAAACGGATTATTTATTATTTACATATGATGCCTTTAAAATGGGGAACTTTTTATTTTTAAAATATGTCCGTACGCTACAGTCCTTGGGAATAAATTTTTAGCGGTGTATGCATGCCCTATTTTTCCTTTTCAGCAAAAAAAAAAATCTTCTTTAACTTTTTTTAAAAATAAAATTATACTGTACTATTCACGGAGCAATTTTTTGCCAAAAAAAATTAAGTAGTAATTTAAAGCAAAATTACAAAAAAAAAAGTTATGCTGAAAAAGAAATTTTCAAAAATCTTACTACTACTTTGATGGTCCAAATTAAAAGTAGAGTAATTTATATGGTTTAAAAATTAATTGTTTATCATGAATTTTAATCAAAGATAAATGTGAATTTATTACTATAAACATCTAATATTGAATTTTGTTATATACTTTTAATAAGCCATTTAAATAATAATAATAATAATAATAATAAAAAATATTTATAATTAAGAAAACAAATATAAGAAGAAATTAATGCACAAAATAAAGGAAAAACATTAATTTAAATTAGAGTGATAGCTACTATAACTTTAAATTTAAATGCTAATGTAAATTCTTGCTATCATTATATATATATCATCATATATGAAATTTATTTGAAAATATATAATTATATTATATACATATATAAATTGTCATATTATTTATTATTTAAGTGAAGAATATTAATTAATATATTAATTTTAAGACTTAAAAATATTGAGATTAATTTTACTTTTATTAAAATAAATTGAAATATAATGTAACACTACAATTATTTGTTAATAAATTAATATTATTTCTAGGATAATCATTTAATTTTTCAAAACTATTGTTATAACTAATATTAATATTAATGTGTATTACAATCCACATAAAATATAACAACTACAAAACAAATATTTTATTTATATATTAATTTCAAAAAATAGACTCGCAGCACAACACCTATTTCCTATTTCTAATTTTATAGTTTGTTATTTTTAAAGTTTATATTTAATATATTATTAATATATAAATTTTATATATATTAGTAATGTTACCTCGTTAACAAGTAAATATAAATTTTATAAATTATTAAAATAAATATACAAAAACTAATTTATACAATATCATATAATTTACTAACAATGTTTAAAATATATATAGTGATCATGCATCAAATATATATATTTTTTAATAAAAGACATTTGAAAGGAAAATATTTTGACTTTTTTTATATATATAAAAACGTGTGATTATTTTTGTGATCGTGTGAACACTACAACTTTGGTTAAATCTTAGATGGAATTTTTTTGGTTGTATTGTTCCCATAGTGACAACATTTTTAGTAGGTACCGTGGCATGTAGTGGGCGGTTAGTCTTCCATTAATTAATTTGTAAGTTTATGGAAGACACCATCATAAATCTTGCTTTCTACCACTACATTTACATAATTTCATTCATTATCCCTTCCCAATTCCTGTTCTAAAGGAATAGGAGCCAAATAAATCTGCTGCCGAAATTGGTTTCTTTTTAGACTAGGTTCTTATGATATTTGGTATAAGATTTTGTCATCTATGGGCTTGTTTTGTAGTACTAGAGTTGGTGAATGTTCCATCATGTTCTTCCAAATTAGGCATTAAAATATCCCTACATGGACAAAGTTGAGCCACTTCTCGGTGATGAGTTTTATCACTTTTGTGAGAATGAGATACCTAGATATCAGTGATAAAAAAGAATGGTTCGCTGGTGAAAACACTGGCAATGTGTCCGAGTTTCTTGACCCAAATATCTTCAGTTGCCTGTCAACTCAACTCAAGTTCAAGTACTGCTATGAACTGTGAAGAAGCTACATGATATTCCAGGTCAGCATCTTGGTTGTTACTTCACTAGCAGCTCTCGCTGTTTCTCCGGCCAACAGCAAGAGCTTGAAGAAGCAACATATTATGCTCTCAGGTCAGTTAATAGACACATCATTGTTTGTTTAATGCTACATGTATTGTTAGTTTTAAGCTACTCTTTAGCTTTTTTTTTTTTTTGCGTGCTTTCAGCAAAAGATTGCTCAGGCTCCCAAGAAATGGACAGGGGAAGAGAAAAGACCTCTTGCAGGAAGAGGACACTCGGGAGGAAGAGGAGGAGACTAAAGTGGTGAAACCAAATTTGACTCAGAAAAGAATATGTGAAAAGCTTAAGGTCGACAAAGAAAATGAGTTAGGAAATACAGAAATAAGGCATTTACAGAATGCCATAAAGGATTTGGAGACAAGGAGAGTGACCCTTGAATGGAAACTGCTTGAGTTGCATAGTTTAAAAGAAAAGCTGTCATACATTGCTTTTTTGCGGAGCAATTTAGATGGCAAGACTGCAGAAATTGACAAACTCAATTTCACAATTTTTTCGCTGAAGGCTGAGATGAAGGATCTTCAAGAAATTACGAGGCAGGGTAACTTGGCCGTCACGCAGCTAGAGATGGCAAAGAGAATGATAGAGGAAATGCAGATGAAAAATGGCAATGCTAGCCAGATAAAGGATCAGATAGTAGTGCTTGAAAAGCAATTGTCCGCATTTACAGACAACGAAAACTCTCCTCAAGATGCTTTGGTTAAAAAGAGACTTGAAGCTGTTAAAAATATTGAATTACAACTCACTAAGATGAGAAGGAGAAACAAAGAACTTGTGTTAGAAAAAAGGGAATTGTTAGTTCAGCTATATGCTGCTCATGCCAAAATATCTGCTCTTTCTGACATGACAGAGGTAATTTTAGTATTGATGCTTTTAAGTTTCAATTTGTATCTGTTTTCTTGCTACGCCGCTAGCTACAAAATTTAGTATTTGCTGTTGTCCAAATGACTTCTAATCTGCTCGTTCTCATGTCACTCGAAAAATTGAATCGGGATAATAGAAACTGTTAATGGACTTGGAAGTTGGAATTCTTCTATACTAATCAAAATACCAGAACACATTATTGCTTGAATCTGAAAGGTTTGCTTCTTTACTACTGTTGTTGCAGAGTAAGACTATTGCGAAGATTAGTGAACTGAAACATGCCAATGGGAATCTCTCAAAAGAAGTAGAAAGACTGCAGAAGAGCAGATTTGACATGGTTGAGGAACTTGTGTGCCAACGCTGGCTCAATGCTTGCCTGAGGGCTGAAATCCAATATCATCAAACATCATCAAGAAAGACCTTGAAAAAGGAACTTCAGAAGGATTCAGACCAGAAACCTTGCAAGATAACTACACAATAATCTGACATGAACAGCACTTCTTCTTACACCTCGTCAACTGATAGTGAAGAGATAGATAGTAGCACCATTGAAAACTCTTCAAGCAGCCAGAGAAGCATTAGCAAGAATTCTGGCGCAGGTCATAGCACAAGTTGGAGAAGCATGTATGGTTCTAGTGTTGTTTCTTCACCAGATAAGTCCTCCATAGAAAGTCCTTTGGAAAGAACTGGCATCATACGCAGGTTTTCTACTTCAATGGTGCCTTCAAAGACAGCAATGCTAAGCACTAAACTGGATCGTACATCTAGCAGGAAAAATGTGCCAGTGCTGAAGGATTTTACTGAAACTACGGAGATGCCAAATCTTACAAAAGTAAGGAGAGTTTCTTTCAATGATTCAGTAGAAACAGTTCCATCAGCGAAGATAGTTTTAACAAAATCAGTTGAAGGAGTACCGGATAACAAGGAAATTGTTACTTTGGTCACTGGGCACAGATCAAGAATGAAGGCAGGCCTGCAGGTTCAATCTGCATTGGCTGGAGAGAAACATGAATTTCCATCATCTGAGATCTCTCTGGCAAAGCCAGACCAATCGAGTGATTCAAATAGGAGATCTGTTGACGAGGATGATATTGATGCACGAAAAGTTAGCAGGATTGTAAATGCTCTTCCAGAGGGGGAACTGCATTCAAGCATTTCCAATGCCGTTTCTAATGAAAATAAGATGGATACTCTCACAAAACCTCCTATGTTTGCTGTTTTCTTTTTTATATTTGTATTACTTCTCTATATCTTACATCTTTCTGCCAGGATATACTAGTTTTGACATATTAGTGAAGCATGAGACAGCAAATATTTTTATAAGCCGATATCTTTCTCAAAGACGTTCTTTCACTCAATACAACTTTTTTCACCAAATAGCTCATTATCAGACTCTTCAGTTGCTTGGATAGCTTCAAATTTAGTCTCCAAGTATATAGACTTGTTCAACTTGCACATTATCAAGTATTCTCTACCGTTGAGAGATCATTGTGTTACACTAACTTATCAAACCTTACCCCTTTTTTCTGACCTTTGATCATTCTTCTACATTATTATTTTCTTTGACCTCAATAATGAAGCATGAATCCTCAATTTTTAACATTATTTTTGTTAATCCTTGATTTTCACTTATATAGTTACAACATTAATTTCAATTTTACTTCCTTTCAGCAATGGCATGAAAAGAATAATATTGAGACCATGAAGTTGAAAATGAACTTAAAGATGTCTTGGTGTACAGAGAGAAATGAGAATAGCATAGTTCTTTACTCCCTTCCTATTAAGAGTATCTTCTCATTTCCATCAGGCAACATAGAATAGCAATGACTATTAGCAAATAGAATAACAGTAGGATAATTGATACACTAAAATCATCATATAATATCAGTCGTTTGTCTTTTTCTCATGTTAGCATTCTCAAATTTTTAACTGTACATCAATGCAATTTTTATATCATACATACAACAATAAGAAGGAAATAATGAAAAGTCAGTTCCCTCCTGAGGGAGAAGCTAGATTACAGGCATACTAGTCAGACAGTCATCTAGATCACTGGTAGAAGTCAATCACAATTACCTTGGTCATTTTCAGATCTCCTTCTGTTCACTTTTGTTTCTTATCAATACTAGCTGAGCTAATATCTGCAGCTGCTGCAGCCGCCAATTCCATCAATCTCTCATAGTCTATCTCAGTTGACTTGTACTTTAACTTGAGACCTCCCTGAGTCCATGACTTAATACAAAGGATGGCTTGTGTGCTGTCATGTGGCATACAAATGCGTTGCTTATCAATCTCATCACCTTTACCGCAAAATAGTTCCTCAGGTTTCACTGAAGTTGCTTGGACAGCCAAGAAATCCCTAGCCATAGCAGAGAGCCGAGGGTAGCGTGTACTGTTGACCTTCCACCACTCCAAAACATCTGTCTTTGTAGGAGCTGGAGTCTCTGATAGATACTGAGTGAGTTCATCAGTGGCATTGCTCATGCTTGCTCTTCGCTTCTTTCGAGCAATTTCCTCTGCAAAAGAAACATTTCCTCCATCTTCAATATCTTGAGCAGCGTAGCCACTTGTCATGGATGAAAAAAGGTTGGTACAATAATTTCTCATGAAATGGCCCCTTGCTTCCTCTAGATAATTTTCTGAGTTGAGACTCTCAGGTATGAGTTCACATTTAATTCGGGGATCAAGAATGGCTGTCATGTAGATGAATGTGTTGCAAACTTGGTTGTTGTAACTTCCGAGCTTTTTGGCCATTTCTTCGGCAGCATTTTTTAACCAATCTGGTGGTTGCCGTGTTGCAATTGTATCAGAAATGTGATCCATGTAGACAATAACCATCCCCATGGTAGGCGGGTTGTTTACACATATCTCACTGATGACTTTGTAGAAGGGCTCCAAGTAATTGTGAACAATATTAACTACATTCTTCTCTGCAGCATTCAGCAACATCCCACTACCCAACATCTCCTCATTCTTCCTGATAACAGCATCCATTGACTTCCCAGCCTGTTTCAGTATTAAAAATATTGAAATCAAAGTTTATCATTAGTCACCAAACCGATACCTGAATTGGCAGAATAAAATTATAAATCTCTTGTATCTAGTAAAAAGTTCTTATATGAAAGAAACAAGTACCTTATGGACAAGATCAAGCATTTGGTAATTGCCACTCCACCGTGCTGAAGCATCAAGTGGAAATTGCCAACTGCCTTCATGGTAAGCTGTTGTTAATTGGATGAAATCCTCTGAGAGATCTAAGGATGCATTTAACTCTTGTACAAATTCCCTAACCTTGGCGATAACAGGTTTTGTTGTTCTTAAAGCATCATCTATAATCAAACTCAAAGTACGAGCAGCACAAGGGATATAACAGAAGGGCCCCACTTTCTGACCATCCAACTCCTCCTTTAAAGTATGGCAAGCATGGATAGCATTCTGACTGTTATCATGGGTGCATGAGAGGACTTTATTCTCCATATTGTACATCTTAAGAACCTTTACCAGGGAGTTATACATTTCAGAACCTGTACAAGGGTAAGCTACCTGGCATATATCAAGAAGCACCTTTTGGAATGACCAATTTTCATCAATCCATTGACATGTGATGCTCATATAAAAGATTTGTTCATAGGAAGTCCAGAAATCAAGAGTGACAGAGACCTTGGAAGAAACCTGTTCCAAAGATACTCTCACATCTTCTCTCATGCTCCTGAAAACTTCGCGAAATACTGCTTTGTACTTCTCACCTGGCCATAGTTGTATCGATGGATTCAAAAATTTGAAGGAGTTCACTAACCACTTTTCCTCTAAAGTCGAAGGAGGAAGAGTAGCTAAAATGAGCCATTTAATAAGCAACCAGTTCAGATGATCATAATCAACCTGAGGTGCTCTTCCTTGTGATTGAGGTTTCTTGATTACAGTGGTGGTGGGCTGTGGTGCAGAACTAGTGACAGTCTCCCCTGTCTTATCATATCCGGGATGTCGATTACTAAGGTGTCTTCCTAGATTGCCTTCACAATGAAGGGGGATGATCAGATGGATGAGATAATATAATGAGTGATCATATTGTCATAGCCTCAAACATGCCATAAGCTTGCTAAATGCTACATCCATTGACTCAAACCATGGTAAACAGCCATTTGATTACCAAGGTGCCTTCCTAAATTGCCTTCACAATGAAGGGGGATAATTAGACTGATAAGATAATTATAGAGTGTCATATGATCATAGGCCAAAACATGGCATAAGCTTGTAAAATGCCACATTCATAGAGCCAAACCACGGTAAAAAGCCACAAATGTTGTTTTCAGCATAACGAATTTAATTACAAGAAAACCTAAAGCTCTGTTTGGTTTGAGAAATGCTTTTTGTTTTCATTTTTTACTTTTATTTTCTAGTTTGTTTTCTAGAAAATGTACTTAGTGAACGAAAACAAAAATTGTCTTCTGCAAAATACAAAATAAGCAAAATAAAGCAATTATGGAAATAATTATTATTACTAGCATCTAATTATAAATATATTTATTAATTAATAACTTCCAAAAGTATTCAAATATGGCGCCAACTTCTTAACTTGCAAAACATAAGTAAAAAAGTAACGAATATTCCTTGTTTTCATAATTGAAAACATCTTTTTTTTTTTTATTGTTTTCATATTTGAGCCCACTTTCATTTTTGTTTTCTAAAATCTTATTTTCATTGTTCATTTCCAAACACATCTTCACTTCTTTTTCATTTTCCAAGAAAATGAAAATGGAAAATGCCTTTATTTTCTAAAACCAAACACTACCTAAAGCTCCTCAAAAGCACATCATCGTAAAAAAAAAAAATACAGTGCCAATGGATCAGTATTCAATAAGAGCATAAAAAGGTAAAGAACGAAATGAAGCAAGTCCGCAGGACTTACCTGTTGCAGTTGCAATAGAATAGCTCTGCCCACAAAACTTGCACCTTCTAGTTTTCCCATCAGGAGCTGTCTCAAAATATTTGAGGTAAACTGATGTCATTGTCTTCTTCCTGGGTTTTGCTGTAGGGACAACATTTCCCTTTTCAGAAGAACCCAGTCCAATATCCATTGGATCAATACTAGGAATGAGTGCCATATCCATCATTGTTTTGTGTTCCATATCTGCTTCAAAAGCAAAAATTCAAGATTATAGACTCATAAGCAAAACATTACTTGAGCATTCAACTTTCACAAGACCTCCAAGGTAAAATAAATCAATAACAAATTGAAAACTATTAAATTTAAAATAAATGAAGCAAACAGCAGCTCAAATGCTCGATGGTGAAGATCAGGTTTCTATCATTTTAAATAACTCAAAAATTCCATTTACCACACCTTTGGTGTCAATAAGTCTCTTATACAAGAAAATATGCAAAGAAATTCATCTTGTCTGCATAGTTCTAGTCAAAAAGGTAAGTTATAACACTATGTAGAAAAAGGTCCTTGTTTAGTTGAATCAAATAAAAAGAAAAAAAGAATACAAGAGTTGCTAAGAAATTGACCGGATATCTATACCACAAACTCAATTTAAGATTTGAATCTTGACCCCCCCCCCAAAACACTGTAAAACATATAACCCTACAGTATCCCAATTTCTCATTATCGAAGTGAACCTCAGTGCAACGTCCAATCTAAATAAGATTAAATTTAGAATCAGTTCTTAATTGCAGGTGATATAAACTCCAGCTCGTGAACTTGTTTCCAAAAACAATTAACTGAATCCACAAATTCTGAGTTAATTACATAACCAAAACACATAAACAAAGCTAGAAGACGACCATTATCAATGTGAACCAAAACTAATATGTTATCCTAAATCACATTAATAAGTTTGATCACTTTATCGTGTATGGTGTCATCCGTGTCGTGTTTAAAATTATCATATATACTCTGAAGCCATATATATCCAGCTAAATTACTTTAAAAAAAAAAAGGATTAGAAGATGCCTTTGTAAGTCTTGAAGGCATTGTTTGCACTCCAATCCATTTTGTTTCCAGCTTTCCCACTAATTCTTCCTGTCTTACAAAAATGCAATTTCAAACAAATTAAACTAACTGCAGCTAATGAAAAACGCTTCATTTCTCAACAAAATAAAAATTAAGAAAAAAACTGTTTACCCCAAAAGTTATGACACTGCTAATACCAGCAGAAATTCTACTTGAATTGTTAACCAATCCTAAAATTAAAACCCTTAAAACAAAAGAAAAAGAGATTAGAGGCAGTTTTAAAATATGGGTTTGTTTGTTTGTTTTGAACGAAAAAGTTTGGGTTAGAGACTAACCTTGGATCAATGAATCTGGGTTCTTGTTCTTCACTTAGTTCTGAGCTTTGAATTTGCAGAAATCAGAGGTGAAATAAGCAAAAGAAGAGGAGCTTATGGTAGAGAAAAAGAGAAAGGGAAAGAAATGGAGGGAAAGAAAAGAGATCGGCGTAGATCTAAGCTGGATCTAAGCCGATGAAACCAAAGGGAGAGAGAAAAAAAAATAGTAACCATAAGAACAAAATTAAATAAGCTTTAATTTACAGAGCCGCGGAGCGAGTTGAGTCTGCGACGCGGACGCCTATACATCTAAAATCTTAACCCTTTTTTTATTTTTTATTTTTTTTTTCTTTTGGCTCGGCTGGTGGGTGTGGAAGGCAATCCAACTCGAGCGAGTGGCTCTGCACGTATTGATGTATCAGACTCAGATGCAAAAAAAAAAAAAAAGACACAGCTAGCTTTCCTGTCCTTTTCTTAATATAAAATAATTTATTTATTGCTCTTAAGGGTCGGTGGTGGCTGGCTCAAGGTTAGGAACAGTTGCTAAAGCCTAGTGGTTGGATTTGTTGAGCCTCAGGTTGCCCCGTTGGGCTGGGAGCAAAACAGGTTTGAGTCTGGCTTAAATCAAACCCCATTTCAAATCAAACGTTCAAATTTTGATGGAAATTAAATTAAATTCGGACACTAATCATATATCATGTATATATATATTATAAGATACATGATTATCTGATCATATTTAATTATGTATAATTATATATGAACAATTTGTACTTTTAAAATATAAATAGTTCTTTAATTATAATTATTTATCAAATAATCTTATTATTTAAATTTTGAAAATGTTTCAAATCTTAAAAAAATTATATTTATCTAAATCTTTTATGTTAAATAATTTATAATCTTTATCTTCATTTAAATAAGATAAAGTTAATAGGATCGTATCAATGAAAAAATTAAAACTTTTAAATCAAATTAAAATTAACCTAAGCAATTTTTATATAAAACATGTTCATATTCTTTATATTACATTTAGCTATGTAAGTAAGTTATAAAATAATTTGGAAGTTTTGGACTTTATTTATTTATTTATTATATATTAAGTAAAGTATGGATATATTTAGATATTATGTTCTTATTATTATATTTGTAATATATATTTTTAATATTTTTATCTTAAATCAATTGATTTTTGTATGGTTGTCAATCAAATTAAATGTATACATGAAATATGTGTATTATTATTAATCCATCATGTATAATAAATATATAATCAATTTTTACTTTCACTTTTAAATTATTTTTAAACATATAAATTTAAATAAAGTGTTACAAAAAGATTTTTTTTAATAGGTTAAATAAGACCGTATATGCATAACAACATATGATACTTATAGTTATTTTTTATTTACATTACAATAATTTTTTTTTCAATGTTTCATATGTCCTATGATGCATATAGAAAAACGATAATTATCTATAAAATTCCTTAAGAAAATAATTAAGAATAAAATAAAAAAATATATTTTTTTATATAGATGATGAATTGAAACTTTGGTGTGGGATTAGATCGACATCACCTGGATAAGAAAATAATAATATATGACAAAATATTCATTAATCAAATAATTAACTTTTAATTAAAAGAATGTTAAATTTAAAAACAAATTAAATTGTTAATTTTTTACCATAAATATGCAAAAATAAATAATTGAAAAATTGCTTTATCTAAATTCAGAATCACACATATCTCTTTTATCTTTTTCAATTTTCAAATACCTTATTCGTTAGTTTCTTTTTTAATTCAAAAAAGAAATAAATATTACTTTAAGCTTATTAATAATATGTGCTACGTCATTTTATTCATTATTCAATTTTCCTTTAAGATTTATATTGCTTTTGTGATTTTATTGTTTATTTTACTTAGATGATTTTTTTCTTTTGACATTATTTTTATTCAATTCCTTTTTGTTTTTCACACATTTCTTAATTGATTTTTTTTTAATATTTTGATCAAAATCATAATTTAGTAAAGGTATGTCAATACTTCTTTTGTTATTTTATTAATGATTCACTATTATATTTTTATGTTCTTCTAAAAAAACCAATATTTTATTTATATTCAATTTTTTTTACTTTTTATTTTATATCTAATATCTCATATTTTTTTCATATTTATTTTCAGCATTTTGATCAAGATAATAATAACAATAATAAAGTTTAATTTTCTTATGACATATTAATTGAATACATATTTATATTTTATGTATGTCATAGTATTTTAAAATTTTAGATATAATTGTAAAAAAAATATACAAAATCTATAATATAAACACGTATTTAAATACGAAAAATAATTCATGCATAGGATGGGTTCAAGCTAGTTATGAAATAAAGAGAATATACAAAATTAAAAAAATGTGTCTTCTTAATACATTCATAGGAAATGTTCAAATCCACGCCTCGTAGTGGTCGTTTAGCCTATAGGCTATGGAAACCCTTATTTGTTTCATAAATAAATAGTGAAGTTATTGTGAACATAATATTTATGTAATATTGAAATAAAGATTGAATAATTAAACAAATATATTGTATTATATTAACTTAAATTTGATTATATCAAAAAAAATTTTATGTAATAAAATTACTAAATAATAAATATAATATATAATTAAAGATTTCCCTAACTATTAATAACACCTAAATACTAAAGGGATAAAACATAATATTTAAATAACATGATGAATAAAAGATTGGTTACAAAATATCTCAGGTCATGTCATCTCATGCATGAATCTTTTGGCTATCTTCTTCCTCTTAATTTATTTAATAAGTTGATCGATTTCTTACTTTATTATGGCTAGCAATGATATGAATTATATACTTTGCAGTTGTACTGTAATGAATCTTTTACAAAAAATATTTCATAAAATCAATAATAGATCACTAATTTCCAGAGAGAAAAGTTGATAAAACAAGTATTACTAAAATAGGTTATTGTGAAAAAAATATATTTTAATAAAAGTTGAACGACACGTTTGATATTTATTAGATATGATAATATGTGTTTTCGTGTCATATTTTGTATCATGTTTGATACATGTGATGATTGAATTTTTAAAACATGAATATGATACGAATTATGAAATGTATTTAAATCTTAAACACAAACACAATATGTTTACTATATCTGTTACATACGACATGATACGATTAACACATGTATAATTAATTCGTTTAAATACAATATGAACAAACATAAATAATACAGATATATACGAATACATACGATTAACATATATATATATAAGTAGATAGACTAACACGAATATATACAAGAACACAACTAATATCATAAATAATTATAAATTATCCATCATTTACAACTTAAAAAATTAGGCATATTAATAATATAAAAAATATTGCATATTAAAAAATAAAAAAATTAATACTCATTTAATATGTATTTAATATATATATTTTAATTTTAATTTATATTACATAATTATATTAATTTTTAGTATCAAATTCAAAATTATAAATTATTAAAGATTAAAGAATAAAATAATAATGTATATGACTAATATTAATATTTATATTGTATTTATATTATTAATATAAAAAATAATTTTATAATAATTATTAAATGAATTTCATAATTAACTATTTAAAATAAATTTTATATGATATTAAATAACTAATTAAGTATCATAATTAAAAAATTAAAAATTAAAATAATCTTTATATGTTTATATTAAATTAAAATAAATATAAAAAATATGTTAAATGTGTTAAATATATTAAATGCATACTTTATGACAAAATTAAATTAAACATATTATTAATATTGTATCATGTTATGTGTTTAGACTAGTCAACATATATACAATATAAATTGTGTTGAGTTAAAATTTTTATCGACATGAATAAATACAAAATATATTTTTATTAAAACATATATTTTTTTCGTATTACATCGCCGTATTATATTTAAAATTGTTAAGATCTAATATGTATGGTAAGATGATGCTAAAGTCTCGACCATTGATTATTGTTTGATATGGTGTTTGACTCTTTTTTTTATGCAAAAACGAACAATAACATGATTACAAATTTACAAAGGATGCTTTCTTATATTTAAAATTATTAAAAATTAAAATTTAATTACAAAATTAGGAGTCTGACAATCAATAAAAGATATTTACAACTCGTTCAAGTTAATTTCACAACTTATTTAAATAATGAAAAAAAAGGTAGATTTTTTACGTATATAAAATTTCACCATTTTAACTTAACTGATAAAGATTTTTTTGTTAAATTACAAATATAAGACAAATTAAATCATAATCAAGTGATGTAATATTACATCAGTTAATAATCAGACAAGCAAACAAACTAATTAATAAACCAAAATATAATTAAATAAATTCAATGTAAAATTGAATATTATCTAACATCTTTTTGGTTCTAGCATAACATTTGTTAACCAAAGCACCGAAAGCCTTAATTACCGTCAAATATTGGGCCTGTCGACGGTTTCCTCTTTGGTTATCTCAACTCTCAAGTGCCTGCCCCTAATTCTAGCTTGAAGTTGGAAAGTGATAGGCAACTTGTGCCTGCCTTCTTGTTTAGTTTTATTGCTGTTTTTAATTTTGTTTTCTTTCCTAAATGCAGGTATATAAACAGATGTAGAAATATGAAAGGGATGAACAAAACTTGCGTGTCAACCAAACGAAATGTTGCTATTTCTTGCTGAGATTTTAAAGCTGAAGAAAGGTTAATTTAAGAATGTGAATAAACCAGTAAGACAAGTCTTACTCTTTATTAGAGAATCAAGGTGGTGTTTTTTGAACCTGAAAAGCCCTTAAGTCTTGATTGCGTGACTTACCTAAATATATAAATTTTTGATTGCTTGCACGTCATTTTCTTAAATTTTTTCAATATAGGATAATCTTCTTCATTCTTTTTACGTTCTTTCTACCAAACCTTTTTTACTTCGCTCTTCAGTTTGTTTAGGGCCATGGAAATAATGCAATAATATAATTGTTGGGTACAGAACAATGATAATGACATGATTAAATCACTCTTTCACTGATCAAAGTAAGCAAAAGACTGTTGTATGATGTCAATTTCCACTTCATTTCTATACTTTTGTGTATTGTGTAAGATAAGCTAGAATGCTAAAGAACAAACCCTGGCCTTAAAAAATGTAGTGAAAATTTGCCCAAAAACTGTGTGCATTTAGATATGATAATGATCTAATTTTAAATTCAAGCTCCATTTGAATAGCTCCTCTTCTTCCTCGACCTTCTTGACCTCCAAATAATTGCGGAAGGGCTTGGACAGATTCGATATGGAATTTTTGGTGTAGGAATATCAGGGACCCTGCAATCGATGAGTGGCATTTAGGTCATTAAATTTGCAAAATCACCAAGAAAACTTGTTTCCTATCCGGAAAAAGGGTGCAAGAAAATGAGAAAGATCAAAAAAAAAAAAAAATGGTGGGTTCATCTTACTGTAATCCGGAAATCTCAATTTGGGAAAAGTCCATGTTAGTTGAACTGTCTAGTGCTGGTACCATTTCTCTGGTCTTGGCCCTCAGTTGTGGCAATTTAGGTTGCTTAATGGCAAGTACTCTGCAGTTCAAGCTGTTTGTTATGTTGTCCTGGGCGATGGCCAACCTACGCCAACATGCCAAAGAAAACACTGATTCGAGTTAACTTTTTTTTGGTATGAAGATATTTTTGGTCCTCCAATTATTAAAAAAATATCATTTTGATTTCTCAACTTTTATTTAAATAATTTTGATCCCTCTTTGTATTTCCGATTAATTTGATTCAAATAAAAGTGAAAAACCTTTTTTTTTTTGCTTTTTTTTGCATAATTTAGGGACCAAAATTGTCTTTATGCTATTTTTTCCCTTGATCATGGTTCAAAGACCGAAAATTACCATCACCAATGCAATCTGCAAACATGATGCATATGCTGCAGTATTTATTGTCACAATATATAAAATTTTACGAGATTCAAAAATGAATTGTTAACTTTGAATTGGGTAATTTGTTTTATTCTAAAAGAATCACTTTCAAATTTTACTTTAAACTCTAAAACTGCTTAGTCATTAATTTCATGGTTGAAAATATAAACAAACAAGAGAAAAAAGTTGTATGTAAAAATACAGTATGCTAATGAATCTGCTGTCAACCAATTCACCAAGTTCCACTTAAGAAATCTAGCCTAGTTTGACAGAAGCCTCTTGATTATCCCATGATTTCAGAACCGCCCCATCCCAAATCCTCATGCTTTAGGGCTGCAGGGAGTTTATTTGTGAAAAGCATCCCGACAAAACAATTACTCACAAACTATATTTGGCATACCAGCTGGACCCAAAAGGTTTTTGGCTGTTTCTCCATCGTTGACATAGCCACATGCTTGTACGTGCTGGGTTTAGTGAACAATGCCTGAAATCTTTCACCCTAAAGCGCAGCCGACGGGGCCTATTTCTTGTTGTCCTTCTCAGTTCTCAGGCATCATCATAATAAATAATTGGCTACAAGTCCCCAAGTTTGAACTTGTTTTCCTCTTTATTTATATAAGAAATAATTGAGTCTCAAAATGGTCTTATGACCATTTCTTGTACCTTCCTAGAAAGCTCCCCTTACCCCCGGCCTTTTCAAAAATACCCCAGAAATAATCTCCCTAATTCACCCGTCCAGCCTCCAGAAGAATCATGATAATAATGACTAGACAATAAAATAATTTATAAGAATGGAATTGACTCACTTGTAGAGAAAGCTCTGATCATGAAGACCAACAACAAGAACGGAGGCTCCAATCTCTCGCACCATGGCCACAATCTTCCTGCCTTCCTGGTCCCCTTCTGTGACAATCATCTCAATATTTGTCTGTAACAAAATTCTCTGATTATCATCTCAATATTTGTCACAAAAAGAACATTAAAAAGAAGAAGAAGAAGAAGAAGAAAAAGAAGATTCAGTTCTGTCTCTTTATTTCTGATGACAGGAGTTGACTCACGTTGAAGAAATTGGAGTTACATATTTCCTTGAAGGAAAGAGCAAGCTGATAGCCTTGCAAGCGAAGCAGCCTTGCTTTCTTCTTGCCTCTGGATTTAGTGGGAGAGAAGACATGAAGGAGAGTTAGCAAGTCCCCATAGCGAAGTAAATTATGGAGAGTCCATTGGAGTGCTGTTCTTGCTACATCTACATCTTCTACTACCACAACTATTTTCCTTACATCCATTCCCTTTTTTTTATCTCTTTTTCCCTCCCTCGTAGAGAGACAGACACCTTTTTCCGAGATGGGACAGTGTCAAAAAAGCTAAGACTACAAACGATGGGATTTACCTTTTAAATGAGTTTGGCTCCTTTTTGTCAGAACCTGCAATTTCCCAACGTTGATTGCTTTTTATGGGCTACTCTCTGATCTCTTTCTCTCCCTAGATTAGCCAAAATGGCTGGTTAAGAAAATGTCAAGTGATTACTTAGGCAACTTAATTAAAATATTAGAAACAACCTTGCAAAATGAGAGTAGGTGGACATTTGGACCATTTTGGAGCATTAACATGTTTGTCGGAGTTATTTTATTTATGTGAATATGAATATCCCCCATTTGATTAATTTAGCCTTAAATCTCAATGGCTAAACAAATAAATTTAAAATTTAATTCAATTAATTTATATAATTATTTTTTTAAAAAAATATTTAATAAACTAAAATTTTGAATCCTGTAACTTGTAATTATTTCTTTTATTTTTAGTGTATGACTTTCATAATAAAAAAAATTAAAAATGAATTGACTAATGAAACATAATCAAGGTCCATAATTATTTAATGTTTTCAAGATAATTTATTTCTTAAGAAAATATTAATTAGATGAGAAAATTGCCAAATTGATGGGCATAATGTCGCTTGTCCCTATTGAAATCCTTTCAATCATTAATGCCTAGTTGATCACTTGATCTTTATAGGTCCAAAAAGCTGTCTTTTGATGCTTGATAAATATCCTTCTTTTTCGTGATGTTCCAAATATGTATCATATGTTGATATTAATCCTTATAAAACTTCCGAGCCTAATAATTTGGTCAAGTACCTTTTTGGAAAGTAAAAAAGAAAAAAAAAAAAAACTTACTCATTTTTTGAAATAGTATTAATTGGAATCAACTACTTTTATTGCTTTGTAAAAAACTAATGACATTTGTTAGTAAAATATTAAAATTTTAATTTTAATAATAGTGAATCAATCATTATAATTTTAAGTAAAAAAAAGAAGTCATTTAACAGTTTAAACCATACAAGGAAAAATAATTTTTTTCTTATAAATTTCACATTTTTTAAAGATTCAAATATTACGTCTTAAAGAAAAAAATAGCTCAAGTTTTAACTGTTACGTTATCATCTTGAGTGCAATTCTTGTTTAAGTTTAATGAAGAAAAAATGGTAAAGAAAAAAAAAGGGGATGAGGTGGAACATGAATGAAGACCTTTTCATTAATAAACTTCACTTCTAAAAGGAATTTCAAGTACAAGAAAAATGAAAAAAAAAAATGAAAGATGCAAATGCGAGGTTCGATCAAGTCATTTTATTTGTTAGAGAAGCGGAGGCATGCATTTAGCGCGTCATTAGCTGACAATGGCCTCTATGTCCCAATTGTATTTGTACATGGAGATAACATGCTCATTAAAAATTGAATAATAAATTGTTGGCTATCCTATTACGACTATACTAAATTATTTGAGGTTTTAACTTAGAAATAATGTTACATTTTTTTTAATAAAAATTTGAATTAGCATATTTTTCGTAAAAATAATAATTAATTAGTAAAATATATAAAATTTTAAAAACTTTTATTTGAAATCATAAAATTTTTCATGTAACATAAAAAAATCTATATATGTTAATTTTTATTTTTGTGTTTTTTTCTTTTATTTCAGATTAGTTTTTTTTTTAATTTTTTATTGCAAAATGTCATTTAAAAAAAAAAACGAGATGTTCTTTAAGATTTTATTGTTTTAAAAAATAGATTTCTTTAAAGTTTAAGAACCAGAAGTCAATTATTTTTTCTTTTAATACTGTTCTAGCTACAATATTACCAAAACCTTAATCATTATATAGATCTATTGATACTATCATCTGATTTTATTTATTAATTTTAATATTTGAAAATTTTTCTAGTAAGTACTACTATTTAGTACTTATTTTAGAAGGGGTAAAATATCATTCAGTTTTGAATTTTTTTATTTTAATTATCTAATTATGAAATCTAACATTTTAATCACTTTTGAATAATATTTTAAATTATTTGTAATTAATCTCTAATATGATGCTGGTAGAATAAAAAAAAAATAATGCTGATAAGTACATCATATGCAATGCTAGAGACTGTATGGCATGTTCTCGTAATAAAAATGTCACGTGATAAAATGATTTGACATTAATATATAAAAAATTAAATAAATAAAAATAAATGATTTTCCGTCTTCTTTTCCTTTATTCGAAATTTGTACTTTTTCATGTTTTTCTTCTCTTTTTCTCTTGTTAAACTCACTTACTCTACTCGTCTTTAATCTAAAATCAAATTACCTAAAAACCCAATTGCCGATGGTCATCCATCGCATGCTACACCGTTGGCTGTCATCTGTTAGGATTAAGATAATTTTGATTTCAGTTGTTAGATAAAAAAAATCCCAATTAATACATTTATCAAGGAAAGTGAAAGCATAATTAAAATAAATTATCCACGCACAACAAAAATTAATTTAATATAATTTGGTATTTAACTTGTCTACCTCCGTGAATAAAAAAAAATATTCGTTAATTATAGATAATTATAAATAATTACTCGTACCTAATCTAACATACAAATTATTTCCAATTAATCTCTATTAAACTCACCATACATATAGATATTTTGGTTCTCCTCTAGTATTATAAGATATCTAAATATCAAACATTCAAATATATATATATATATATATATTCTAATCCTATGGAGTACCTATCTCAAAAAGTTCTAAAACTCTTTTATATCTTTTTCTTATACGTAGTCATATTAAAAATTTTACTATTTATAAGCATGTTAAATTGTCAATTAAGAATATCTTTTTTTTTTAATTTTCTTCTTATAAATTTTATTGTCCATTAAACAATATCTAAAATTTTGAAAAATTTCAAACAAATTTTTTATAGAATTGAGTCATTTTTTTTTAATAATTTTTATCTCCACTCAAATTTCATTAAATCATTTTTATGCTAGATATGCTTGGCTCTACATGCAATTAAAGTCTCGTAATTATCTTCTTTTACGTCTTTATATATTACACAAATTGATTTTTCTAAACACAAACTCAAACTTTTTTTTTTGAATCAAGTTCCTTCAAGCTTGCCTATTTTCATGTCTCGAACATTCGCTCTAATACCACTTCTTGGGATCATAAAAGCTTTGATTCCAGTTATTAGGCAAAAAAATTTGAATCAATTAGAAATTCATCAATAAAAACCGAAGCATAATTAAATCATAAATCATCCACATACAAAGACAATAATTTAACATGGTTCGGCACTCATTTTGCCTATCTCTACAAATGAAAGAAAAGATCTATTAGTTATAAATAATTATAAACAAATCATCAACACTTAAGCAATGTCGTAATTATTTTGAGACCGTCAGACGTAAATAATTTTAAAATTGAGAACAAAATGAGAGGAGTCGCCACCAATCTTTGTTAAGGTGTGATTGGCCATCCAAAAGTTTATCTTTTTAATAAAACTATAAAAACGAGTTTAAAGTTTATCAAAAAGATAAATTTATGTCTACGAAAATCAGGTTAGGTCTAGGAGTCGGTTACGTGTGGGAAAGATTACCACATCCACAATGCTTATAAATTGGTACCATTTAATTACGCGCTATTTTCGGTGTTGGATAAAAATGGTTTCAATTTGAAATTTAACACTAATTCCCTTTACTTTAAAAAAATAAAATTTTGGTTAAAATTCTTTTTTAGGAATATTGAAGAAATCTTTAAGTTAAAGAATTATCTTAAAATTCTCCAATATTTAGGCAGAATTTAAAATAATTATTTTCGCTTAAGATTAAATAAAATACTCCTTAAAATAAAAATAGCACTCTTTGTAGAAGATGATTGTTAGTGACTCTCCAACATTTAGGCAGAGTACCAAGAATTATTTTCTTTAGAATGTTATTTTTGTTTTATTTTATAATATCATAATTTTAAAAGTAAGTAAATTAAAAAATATTTTTGTGCGAAAAAGTAAATGATGCTATTATCAAATAACAAGTAACAATTAAAGAAAAAGAAATGCAAACAAGTGCAAACAGTAACAAATTAATGTATGTAAGCCAATAAATGCTGTGTATGATAATGAAGTGCAAATTTGAAATTGGATTCTTAAATATAATGAGACCACTTTGACTTCCCAACATCTAGGCGAAGCTTTGGTGCGACTATTTATATTTAAGATCCTATTATATCATTATACTTTTTATTTATTAATCTTATTATTAATGTAAATTAAGGATTTGTATGAAAAACTTAATGAAATAAAGTTTCCTAAATACCCCATCATGTAGGCGACATTCGAGAATAAATCATTTTATGTGAGATTTTCACACGTATCCTTAAAGTTTCGGAATAGATTTAGGGTTTTAAGGGTTTTGGAGTTTGAACGATTTTTCAATGATGGTTCAGAGTTGTGTACCAAATTTGGGATTTTGGATTTGAATTTTAAGGTTTTTGGATTTTAGGGTTAGGTTTTTGAGTTTCAGATTTTGAGGTTTAGGTTTTCGATTTTAGGGTTTTGATTTAAAGATTTGGGATTTAGGGTTTCAATTTTAGGGTCTGAAATTTGAGGTTTTGATTTTAGGGCTTCAATTATAGGGTTTGAGGTTTGGGGTTTTGATTTTAGGATTTCAGTTTTAGGGTTTAGATGTTTAGGCTTTTGATTTTATGACTTAAAGGGTTTAGGGTTTAAAAAGTTTAGGGATTTGTTTTATGGTTGGAAGGTTTAGGGATTTGATTTTAGGGTTTGAAGGGTTTTAGGTTTGGAGGATTTAGGGTTTAGTTTTAGGGTTTGGAGAGTTTAGGTTTTTGGTTTTCGATTTTAGGGTTTAGGTTTTTTAATTGAAGAAAATACGAACATCTCTAAAAATCTCTAACATTTAGGCAAACTTTCGGAGCAAGTTCGATTTTAGTGATTTTTTAAAATTAATTAAAAAATTTTCATATATGTTCTTTTTATGAAAACTTATTATTATTATTATTATCAAATTATTATAATTATTTTATATTTTTTAATTTTAATTAATTTTTTATTTATAATTTTCCAACATCTAGGCAGAATTATATTTTAAAGTTCAAAGTTTTTATTCCCTCCAACATCTAGGCAGGGAATATAAAAAATATTATTTTATACTTATTATCATTTTTTATTATTTTTTAAGCATTTTAGTATTTTTTTTCAGTTATTATCCTACTTTATTTTCATTTTTATTATTATTAAAAACAATCAAATATTTATTTTAACAAATTCAAAAATTTATCATGCATGAATATAAAAAAAATACTCAAAATAA